TGTTTTCATAAAATCATTTTAATGTATATTTTCGAAAATGTTAGTTTTCATTGTCCGTAGCTGAAACAATTTCTCATAGGGTATTTTAGTGCCAGTGCCTCGCACTCAGAAAATGTCGCCGTCTCTTTCAAAAGATCTTTAACCAGAAAAATATCGGACACATAAAAAGTGCAGTATTGAGTAAACAGGAGAGTATTCAGTAAGAGCGTATTCCAAAAACCTTTAAGAAAAATACAATATTGTGTAATGTCTCGAAGAAAGGAGGTACGTACCAGTATATATGAGATATTGCAAATGTATATTAAAAGTAGGGTTGCCAAAAATGTTATCGTAAAAGGGAGTACATTCGATAACACACAACACAATTCAACAAATTCTTAAAATAAATATTTAATTTAGACTACCATCAGCTCTATTTCTTCCTTATCTTCATATGCCATTCAAGTGAAACGTTTCGATCACAAAATGCAGATAAAAATTGTCTGAGCGTGTTTTTTGAATTTTAGTCGCTAACAGAGACCGTATCATACATGCGTGTGTCAGCGTTCAGTAAAAAAGGATATTCATGTTTTCTATTCTAAATTAAACGTCGCAGATGTTAATCCTGTGATAAAATAAATGACAACAAAAGTGAAAAATTTAGTAAAAGGAGGATTTTTAAAACTCAAAGGAGGGCGAGAGGACAATTGACGTCAATCGAGGACTGTTGGCAATCCTTGTCAGAAGAGCTCTGCATAGATAGACTTTTTTCTTATTAATAGTAATCATATAATGAGAAAGTGACATTAAAATTAGGGTTTGCCATTGATTTTAAAAGCGTCCATAGCCGTATGCCGAGTGAATATTTTATGAAAGGTTACGTTATATTTTCAGGCGAAGTCATTGAATTCGGATAAATAAACAAGTATTTATCGAACGTTTTTCAGAGCTATAAAAATGAGCTTTTCGGACCTCCTATGAAGTGACGAAATAGTTTTTAAGGGTATTATACATTCAAACTAGAAAACATAATTGCTTTTTATAATAAATATTGAAACGTATATACTTGCTAAGAATCGCATTCCGTAATTACTACACAAAATATTTCATTTAAAAATCTCTGAATTTAGAGTTAGGGAAGGTTTGTAATGCTAGAAAAAAATTATGTCCTATTAGTATGGGTAGCTTCAAAACTTTTATTCGCGAGGAAATATGTTCTTCCTTCCCTTCATATTCCACTGATTCCATCTCAAAAATTATGTTTCATGTTCTTTCAGACCGTTGCATAGATATCGTAATAACGTTATATTTTCCGTCCACTCCGCATATCTTTATTTTCCATTTACATTACGAAAATATACGAGCTGACGACCGTGTAACGTAAAAAAAATCTTAAACAAAAACACGGTGCCCTCGTATCGCATCGGTTCATCACTTCCGAATTTTTTTAATTGCTCCCCTCCCCCAGCTCTTAATTAACTTCTGTCTCTCCCATCGTATTTCACTGGCAGTGGTATTGTGAGTTTTACAGTGCTGTAGACGTGAATTGCTTTCATCCCTAATGAATAGCGATGCTTTGTGTGCGGTAGCTGGCCTTATCAACTCATCGCTTCTCGCGTGTGGAATAATTGTGTTCATGCGCTTAACAGATGCAATGCAGTAAATCTCGCAACCGAAACGGTAATAATAGGAGAGTGTGAAGAATTAAAAGGTACATGTGTACCACGCGAGAATTAGAAGGTATATTAATTCTTTTGTTTCGGATTTCATTGGTCGACAATTCGTTTACATAGATATGTTTGCGAAACGTTAAACGAATGTTCCTTTCATTGTAGCAAGTAATACATTGCCCAAAACAGTTTTCATAGGTTTGTTTCTGCTAAGTATGAATAATCTCGACATTCTTTTTGACTTCTCTTAATATTTTGTATAACGGTTTAGCCATTACAACCAACCAAATTATAAATGATGTGGTATTTGTTATTTCTGTAGATTATACAATTGTATTCTCGAATTAATACAAATTAATTTAAAAATTATAAATTAACATAGTGCATTAAAATTATAGGCTTTATAATAGTATTATTACATGTTATAAAGTAGAAAATTATGTTATAATGAATTTGTACAAACAAATGTTGTTTCACGTGTTCGATAGACCGAGCGGCGCAATCTTACGAGCAAAGCAAAATCACTTTTACCACGTAGGCCAAACACTACTTTTTTTAGAAAATCTTACTAACTTTCATTTTATTTTACGTCTAACTCGCATAACGTAACTTTCATTTAAGTATGCAAATCACTTAATGATGCACTCAGGCCAGTAACTCATGCGTCAAATGAAATTGTTAGGATTTCGTTGTTGGATTCACAAATGTAACTGAATAATTGAGCAATGTCTCACTTGTAGCACTAGCGCTAAATATTGTACTTTTAGCGCGTTAGGCCTGCCATGAAACAACCACTTTTACCAGCGACTGTCTAAAAATGTATTTGTGAGATTTTAAAAAAAATTATAATTGCGCGTTCTAACAGTGTGCCGTCTGTGTGTCGCAGGCGGCGGCAGCGGCGGCGGCGGCGGCGCAGACCTGAAGCCGTCAGTGGCGTCGCTGCAGGCAAGCGTCATGTCCAACGCGTCGCTGGCGGCGGCCTACCAGTCGCACCTGGGGCTGGCGGCGGCGGCGGCGGCCGCGGCCCAGCAGCAGCACCACCACCACACGCACCACCCGCACCACCACGCGGCGCCGCACCAGGCGGCGTCCGCCCCGCGCGCCGCCGACGGCGGCGTGGCCGTGGCGGCGGCGGCGGGCGGCGGTGGAGGTGGAGGCGGCGACGGCGCGGGCGCGCTACTCCACGACTACCACTCATTGTGACAGTGGGCTGCTGGCTACTCCTACAGCCAGTGACTGCCTCGGCCCAGCCACCCCGCCCGCTCCGCCCCGCTCCCGCCGCCGCACCCCGGCGCGTGAGATGCCGTCGCGCGGACACCCGCCTTCGGTCCTGCCGCAGATCAACCATTCGACGCCTCGGACAGCAACGCAGTGTTCACGCTAGAGGATGCGGCGCGGTCGACCTGCCGCGTGCAATCCGCCTCTCAGTCGTCGATCAGCGTTTCAAACCAGAAGGCTTCGTCCAGGAACTCGAGGCTCTTCACGCTGGTGGATGAGATGCAGTTGATTCGTGCGTGAAATCCGCCTTAGGTTGGTGGTCAGCTTCGCTCAACGATCGAGCATTTCGAACCAGGATGTTCTGTCCAGCAACGCAAGCTTTTCACTCTCTAGTGGATGAGATAGTCGTTCCATGGCGTGGATAGTGATGGCTGCTGAACAATGCAAGTTCACTACTGCAGTTGTCTCTTCCTTTCGCTACTCAGCGATCTGAAACAACCTAAAAGCTATACGGAGTGAAGCAAGCTCTTCACACTCCCAGAGAATTGTGGAGAGTGATGGTTGTTGAGGACCTCCAGTGTTTGAGGTGGTGATTGTCTTCACTCCTGCTGCCTCCCAGCGATCCAGCACTTCCAATTAGGAGGCAATATTATCCGTCGCGATCTCTCCATTCTGGAGGAGATCATTGACCAAGCTTTTTTTTGGTTCCGTCGGCTCAACGGTTGTGCTGCTCTCACCAGCAGACAATATCCAGCGACACAGGCCTGCGATTGTTAAACGATCCAGGTCCTCTCCTCTGCAGGCGGTGCTTGCCCAGCACAGCACTCCAACTCAACAGACACGGTAATCTTGTAAACTGTTTGGGATTGTACAGTATGACGCAATGCCTTTATATCTGAACTACTAGCGGTCTTTTCCTTGAAACATTTGCCAAGCAGTTATGTTCAAGTTTCCTCTTACATGATGGACAAGTGTTTCTTCAACTCCGTCAACCGTCATCAGCAAGCTTCCTGTTTATGTTTCCATCAATTCTGAAACGGAAGACGTCGATGGATATGATACTAGCACAAAAAAAAAGGTGTCTGACACACCTCGAAAGATTTGTCGTATGCACACATTCTTCAATCACACTAATGGACAACAATAAAGTTTCGTTGCTAAAGGAATGTTGGTGATCTAAAAACTCAGTAGTTCATAATCTTACGTCTGTATTCAAAACCGTGCCAGTGCCACCGCAACTCCTCTATTAAAGACAATTTTATCTCAACTGCGTCGACGGCGTTGACATGTTGGGCCGATCATTGTGTAGCCGCAGTGGAGCGAATAACTGGAGCGGCAAGACTTTGTAACCTTGAACCTCAGTGAAGTGTTCTTTCCAACAACGACCTAACCCGCCTCCTTCACAAGTCGCTAAGAGAAGAGCAGTGTTTGTGTCTCAAGTGAGCAAACTCTTTGGGTGATGATATCTTTGTTGTAGTTGAAAAAACAAGAACTGTGTCCTACAAGTGGGTGTGTTCAAAGAGAGAGAGAAGATACAGCGAAAGTGTACGCATCGAAGACTCGTTTGTGATAAAGGAAAGAAGAAGAAAAAAAAGAAGTGTTTTGCGTAGGACGGCACTTGAGTGTGATCCGCCCTCTCTGTGAACCAGTGCAATGACCCGGTGAGGTGGTCCTCAGGACTATCTCGGGGTCCCTCTTTCTCCTTGACCTCGCTGCCCGCGCCAGGCGCATGCGCGAGGTGAACCCGATTTGCACGCTTCCTCCTGGCGGTTGGTTCCGAAACTCCGGTTGCGACATAACGCGCATGCGCGAGTTGCCTGAAGCTGACGAATCGTGCGCCATAAGGAAGCGTCCAGATAGGGACGTAGTGTTTGTGAGGGTGTGATCGCCTACCCTAGCGTACAGAATGAGAAAACACCGTTGGCGTAACTTCTCCGTCGTTTTTCTTCCGCCTTCTACATTGTTTGGTGTATTCCATTCCTTGAATCTTTGTTGCTTGTTAAATCAAGTACATCATGCCAAATACAAATATTTGAAGGGTCGCTGAGATGTAAACGTAAGCAAGATATTTTAGTTATTCAACTACAGTACGTTTTTCATGTCCACCGAGCACGTCTCTTTTTCAGTTTTTATTCAATTTTCTCGTCTATCTGCTGGGTAAATAACCAACTTCTTTTCTTGGTCCCACACTGATTCACAGATGTCCGCCAAACACGCTAGCATGATCAAAACTGCATTAGTATAGCTTATGTTTATCTCTCAGCGACCATTATGTTTGTTCGTTTACCAAAAAATTTCTGCTGCTCATCGCACCTTCACACGTGGTCTTCACAATAAAAATTTAACGAAACCCATTTCAATATTTCGTTGTGGTCCAAAGTCGTTCATCAATTACCATACGCACATTTTACAAGGCGAACGATAACAGAAGATCTCATATTTAAAATCCCTTCACATTTTTTGTTATACAGGTTACCTCATAAGTATATTAATATTCTAAAGAACACCGGTATTGTACATATAAAATTGACTTTTTTCTAATTGCTCTATTACTTGCCTGTAAATTCGATAAATTGACTTGTGTTATATTTTTTCTATTCTACTTACCCATTACCCTATAATCGGATTTTTAGGCATGAAATGTCCTCAAATCATTACAAAAATCGCCGATTAGTGATTGTGATTGCTTCTTTTTACAAAGAAGTCAAATGTAATGCTACATTGACCATGATTGCGCCTACCACAGGCTGTCAAAATGCAACAAAGCTACATCGAATGGAGTGAATCGTCCGCACGGCGAAGCGCTCTCAAGACTCTCCGTTGGCGTCCCATGCTCGGTTTAATTAAGGACATTCGCAACCGAGGGGGCTTGGCGGGGTTGTTGGGGCTGGGCGGGGCGGGCACGACGCCAGCGCTGTCTGGCGACACGCTCGAGAAACTGCGACGCACTCGGGAAGGGTGGGAGGAGGGGGAGAGGGGCGGTCCCGGTTCCTAAAGGCCGTTCCGGACAAGTTGGCTGCGCGGGTGTGGCGGTTGGCAACTCGTTAGGGTAACGAGTCGCAAAGTTTAGGAGGCGGCTCCAGCAGCCTCCCAAGACACGTCGTCTCACAGATACTGCAAGAGGGATTATGCATCTCGTGAACACTCGAAAGGTGCGACCAAGAGGAGAGCTGATGACAAATTTTGCTACTTTTGCGTCATTTTCATATATACAATCATTCTATCATTTGAAATTGATTGTCTTATTTAAGTTAGCGAGCATTTTATTGAGTAGAGTACTTTCCAAGCAGTAAATTATTCGCTAGATAAGTTGTACATAAATGTATAAAGTATAATATAGTAATTTCCCTTTTTGTATGATCTATTGTAATTTTCTAATCTATTAATGTAAGGAAATACCAACTCTATTAAAATCTCGCTTTTCTTAAAACCCAGACAGTTCTGGAGCAGAGCAGACACAATTCAAACGCGATATTCGCTACGACCACATTGAGTACCTCATTTCCCATTGGATGCTATGGTATCATTGTTGCATAAGTACATGACACACTGGTATTCTATTTTAATTATCTCATAGATATTTTTATCAGATTATTGTTACCAGTAGAAAGTGCAGTGCTCATATTCCCTTCGCCGCTTTGCTGACGACCATTCGCTGCCAACTTGTTTGGAACGGGTTCTGCCAGGCTACGCCACTGGTGTCGCCGACAAGAGGCCAGGACGCTGGCCTGCCCTGCAAAACAAAGAACATCCCGCTGTTTTGGCATGGAGAGCCAAACGCCGTACACATTATGTGGCAGGCCAAAACCAGGTCACAATTCCTCAAAAATAAACTAATGAAAAAGATGAAGATCTCAGGAACACGAATCTCAAAGCATTCAGCTGTACTCTGGGTCGTCTGTTAATACCAGACAAGTGTGCTAGATTTTTCTAATGTTTGTCTTTCGCACTTTTCTCGAATTTAAGGCGATAGTTGCGTAATGTTCCTCAACTATTGCTCGTTTTTATTTCTGGGGACACGCCGGTGACGAAATGTTTACCCGTTCCTGCCCTGTTCGCGTCCCCCAGCCCTGCCGCCCCTTCCCCTCCCTCCTCAAGTCTCGCCGTTTTGTCTTTTCCTCTTTCTCTCTCTCCACTTTCTTGTCTCGTCTTCTCTTACCTCTCTCGCTCTCTTCGTCTTGTTCTACTTCGGGGAGTCCCCCCGGCGCACGCACGCACGCACAACGCGATTCTTTCACCTGACAAATGACGAATGTCATGACATGTTAATAATAAAACGATAACAATAAACGATGTGTGTATGTATGTGAAACTGTCTTTCATTAGCCCTGACCTCCTTGATAATTGTTATATGTTCTGTAAATAACAATAAGCAAAATTGGATTTATATATATTAAAAAGAAATTATATTATATAATTTATTTGACGACGGGTTTATAACATCACTTGTTAATCGAAAATCGTCCGTTCCTTTCTCATTTACGATTGGTAGTTTATATTTATTTATAAATAAAATAAAGTAACGTAGAATATGTGTATCTGTTAACTATAATATTTTTCGTAAAAACAGCACTATGATCCAGTGCTTTATTTATGACTCACAGTATTAATTAAACACACAGTTAAAATTTCATAAACAATAAAACTAGATCTGGATTTTCGTGACTTATGAATTAAGGTACTGAATTGGAACTTCAAATAGACTGAAAATGTGATGTAAAATACAAGTGATGTGTGTTGAGTCACTCGTCGATTATAAATTTATATTAAAAACACGTTTATTCAATGAAACCAGATTCTACTTGAGGTAAGTCAATTCTACTTCCTGTTACGCCGTAACTTCAAATTTACAAAGTGAGTAATAATTAAATAATCTTATTGAAATTAACTTTTTGTAACAATAAATTTATCATTAATATGAAATCGAGCTTTTATTTTCTTCGTGTGAAGGAATTATTAATATATGAAAAATAAAAAGATACTATTTTCAAAATGATCCTTTTCTTATAAACAATTTTTTTCTCTCGTTATTGAAGAAAAAATTAATTCATTACAAGTTTCCGGGAATTTTCTGGAAACAATATCTTAAAGATTTCATTTCTTCCTATTCTGGAGTAATATCTTCTGTATACTCACAAATCATAATTCACCGAGTTGTTTTTCTATAGTAGATCTTATTCACGATTTTGCCAAACTCAAGGAGGTTAATGACCGCTCTGCACAGGCAGAATGGATTGTGGTGGAGCCCGATAAAAGTGAACGATAGAACAAAAAAATGATGACTAGTAATTAATTTTGGAATTATTAATTTCAAAGAAATTTTTAAAATATTGGTTACTATCCTTGTCCTGCTAAGGACATAAGTCCGTATGTATAGTGTACGATTCTTACTGCAGGAGGTGTCTGATTCCACCCCCCCCCCGCGCTGAATGGCGAGATTCGGCGCTGACCTACGCCGACTAGCGGGGATTTTCCCAACCAGGTATCCCCTCCTGCGGGGAAGCGTTCCAGCCGGGACACGCTCTAAGTTTCCGACTGGTCACCCGTTATGTGTGGTATTGTAGGGCCTGTAAGTGTAAATAAGGGATGAGGACAGGGCGAGGAAGAGGAAGGAAAAATCGCGCGCGATCGAGACCCGTTTGTTAGGCAACTGCCCCGGCATTCAACTGGTGTTGATCGGAGAAGCAAATTTTTTAACTCTACTAAGGGTGCATTTTATGCAAAAGAGGACAGACGTTCGGAGGTTTAAAGCCTGTGTGTGTGTGGTGGAGGGAGTTATCTATGTCCATGAATGAGGTTCATCAGATCGCTTCAGAAGAGGCTTACAGCGCAATCCATGACGATCCTGATGACTCCTTGCCTCATTTATAGACCTTGAACACATTCACAATTCTAAAATAACATCAGTCTAAGATCCGAATTACGAAACGGAACCAACCAGAAGAGCAGTGTTCGTATCCAAAGACCCGTGTTTGCCTCTCAGCTAACAGTTCGCGTCACTTCTAACAGATTCGCCAGGGTCTCCGAAGTGTTTACAAACACTTCTCTTTGGAGTACGAGGTCTTTGATGTGCCTCAGTGTAAGCACAGAAACTAAATGCAAATGTGACGTTTAAAGATCAGATTCCCTCCATAAATAAATGGTCTTTTTGATGGAAGTGGATGCCACAACATACTATTTATTGCAGAATTCTTTGCCTACTCTCAACAAAGAAATTTATCAAATTGAAAAAGCACTGGATGATCCATTAATTCTAATTGAATATTGTTTTAATAATAAAATTAATATCAATATTTCTGATGGTTAATTCTAGATTAATTTATTAAGCTGACACGTAATTTAATAGTGCAGGTAAAATATTCAGGTAAGCATACTAGGTGGATAAAATTAAAACAATTTCACCATAATAGGCAGTAAATATATTCTGTAAAATTGTTAAAACAGAAATAATTGATGTGTCATTTGAGGGGAGAGGGGAGAGAAAATTGCATTGGATGCGTAGAAGCAAAACAAGGAACCATCATTTGCTGGGGGTCAAGGGTACTGAATGAAATAAGGAAAGGTAAGGAATCCCTATTTATTGAAAGCCCCTTTCAGTTTGCAAGGTTGCCTCTGAGACTCCTTCAGACGTGCACTATTTATCAAGGAATCAGGTCGCACCTCAACCTCCCTTCTAAATGAAGTTGCTGTCAAACGCGGCAAGCGCCACCGAAAGTTGCACTGAAAGAAAAATTGCGGTGACGCTGCATTCACTTCACCATCTACACTAAACTGAACGTATTTATGAATTGTTTTGGGAGGGTGGAGCTGGAAAAAGTTAGAATAATGACGAAAGCCTTGTGAATATTCAGTGCTCGATCAAAAGAAGGGAACCAACCACGTGTCCCAAATAATCTTACAACTCATCACACATTTCATAATTGCCTGGCGAAGGTATGTATCTTTTGACTTGGTCATAGACCCGTTAGGGAACCGACAGTACGAGAACATCTTAGGTCTGTCTCGTGTCGCTCTCGATTAGCCAGAACTCACATGCCACTGCAGGTAGCTCGCGGACTTTGTAGGAGAGGATTTTTTTTTTCTTTCTTCTTTCAGTGGACATAAGAGCAGCAGGTGATAGATGAACGTACCGCATTCAGACCGACATGATGTTTTGTTCATCACTTGTCGCTAGAGGTAACAAGAGGTTTTTGTATCACTAAAGTGATGCACGACATTAGATCTCACACATATTTGCAGTGTGAAAACAACGGCTCAAAAAAAAGAGGAATGCTTTTTTTTTATTTCAAGTCCAAAGAAGTAGATGAATACGAAGAAAAGAAAGAAGACAGAGTAAAAGGCACCCATTTCTGAATTGGCCTTCTTTCCTTCCCCCGCCCCTCCTCCCTCAGGTGCAGCGCAGCTTCCTCTCCCCTCCCCCAGCGGAATGCTGCGAGCTGCGCCGGTGCCATCGCGAAGGCGAGATGGCGCGCCGATTGCGCGCAGGGGTCCCAGGCCCTCGGCAGGGCGCCCGCCTACAGGCGCGCGGCGACCTCTGGCGTCCCCCAGGTATTCAATCCAGCGGCGCCCCGCCCGCCCCGCCCCGCCCGCCGCCCGCGCCCGCCCCGCCCAGAAATAATAAACGCACCACCTACCTCGTCCGCACCTCGCCCCGCCCCCCGCCCCGCCCCGCTCCGCCCCACTCGCCCGCCCCCGCCACGCCCCCGGCCCCACCTCACCCCGCCCCCGCCGACCCCGCTCCGCCCGCTGCGCTCCGCCCCGCCCGCCCCGCCCCGCCCCGCCCCGCCCCGCCCCGCCGCTCCCCTTCCTCTCCCCCAGAGCCTTAATTGTCGCTGCGATCATCGCGATGATAATCTCGCTGTGAATTGCAGGGTGGGTAATGAAAGGCTCGCTAACGCGGTTGCTCCCCGCCGGCTCTCTGCGGCCTTTCAGCGATTTACGGCGAGGTTTTGTGCGCCCGAAAAACGGCTGGTCGTAAGACGACACCCGGGTTTTGGTGCGCGGAAACGCACAAAAAAAGGTTGATTTATTCTAAAAGTAGCCCTGACGCAAAGCCCGCGCTTCCGTTTTTTGTCCGGTTGACCGGAATGATGTCACTCTTCTCTGCCTCCTTGTCTTGTCTCGTTAATGAGGTGGAACATCTGGAACGTTTTTCCTGTCCATTTTGCCTCCGTTTTACAAAAGAGTGGCGTCATACACCTCAACACTCGTGTCAATAATCGAAGAAGCGAACCTTAGATATGATAAATGGACAATTGGGTACATAATACAAACACAAATGACAAATGGCTTACATGATCAATGAACTAGTTAAATAGCGTGTATTATTGTATAATACATTATTTAATGTTATATTCTACCAGAGATCATTTACAATAATTGCAAAGGTCTTACAAGAAAATTAAAACCTCATAATCCTTTATATGTAGCTTTGTGGATGCGCAGAATATAGAATAAAGTACATGTCTCACCGTGGTGTTGAGCAGACTTCCAATAAAAATCGACACTACATAACGTTATTTGTATAATTCTCCCACGTTTGATCATTGACAGAATTGCGGGATTTTTTAACTGCATAAAATTCCTTCAAATAATTGCTTGTAGTTTGTGCCAGTTCCTTAAACTTTTCTATAATTACTAAGAGTTTTTCTTCGCTTTACAAAATCAAACGTTAATTTCTCTTCTACGAGGGATATACAGAAAGTAAGTTCCGTTTGGTCGAGAATTGTACTTTGGCATCTTAACTAGGACGCGACGTCTCTCGAAC